TTGTTAATATGGAAGATGTTTTTTGTTTCAGATGAATAAAAACCTCTAAACTGTGTTTATTCTCTTCCTTGCATCGACCTGTATCAAGTGTCAGTTATACCACAGCTAATATTGCTCTCTATTTAAAATTATAACAGGTTTTCCCAAGTTCAATATATAGTAGACGTCAAAATGTTTACAAAAAAGATTAACTGTGACTAGAAGTAGGATTCAGGACAAACGTTCTATTTTTTGCGCATGTGTCGTAAAAAGTTGATCAAAATTTAAGAATGATGAGATACTTCAAATGCTTATTAGTAATGTCATAAATTATATACCCGTTGAACACGTTATTGAAGTTCTGAACTCAGTAGTTCAAAGGATTAACCATTTGGGTGTGAGGTGTAAGGCACTGGGTTGGAGTCCTGATGTTAATGTCAACACTTGGATGCAGAAACATCGATCTAACAAGTCCAAAACACAAGAGACCTGTGTCCTAGATTCTATTTCTAGCCATAATCTGTCCATTCTATAGTAGAAATCATGTTACGTGTGACTGTTTCGGAAACAGACATCCAGCTGTGAGAAAACAGCTTCTCAAGTCCGTCTGGTTTTGAAGAGTTTTTCACTTGATCTCACACTGTATTGAAAGCTATCAAAGTATGAAATATTTACTAATTGATCGAAATCTATGACGGTATTGTTGATAATGGGTTTTCGTTGTGCTTGATAAAATAATGGTTTCTATTAATTTCTGTCAAAATCAGTTATACAGCCATTAATCAACACATTTTACAATACGGTATATCAACTATAATAAGACAAGTATAACAGCTTTATGAAATTTTTTTCATTACACCGACAGTAACTAATTAAGAAATAATATGATAACTTTTTCTCCTTATTAATTTCACATGAATAACGACCTTATGAAAACACATTGGTTATACTTGAATTCTAAGACTAGGCAATATCTATAGCGTTATCTGACTTAAATCCTCTCATAATGAAAACGCCATTAATATATACTAAATAACGTTATTATACATTATCCTTAGGCATATGTACATAAATATATCAAGGATGTTATTTAATGATAATAAAATCTTTCTAAATACGGGGACATGTTATAGAGTTAAGAAGATGGTCAATATTTACCGCGACCAATAAATTTCTAAAAAATGTCACCGTTCATTGTGTTTTACTTACATTACTGACTCAATGAATATACTACTAGTAAAGTGTTTTGTTTTAATACTTGTTTATAAAACATAATAATCTGCCATATTCTGCTTAAAATTGAACGTATATTATTACATTGTTCCCGCAAATTAAAGCAAACGTGGTGTGACTTAACAAACCCAAAACCAGTATATGCATATGTAAGGGAAATAGAGTGTGCGTTGGTGTCTTGTTGCGAAAATTTATTAACTTAAGAATACTCCTACATTGATTTGTTAAACATTGTTGCAAAATAAACGTCCGGATTTATCAAGGAATAATACACATTCAAAAAATAATTAGTCATGTACAATCTGTGATAGAGAAAATGTATGCAAATATATTAATTTTGGTTGTGTCATATTCTCTGACAAGAATGATTTAACAGTGAAAAATTCGCTTTCATTTAGGTCAACTTCATCAACATCTACTTCTCAGCCATACCACATACCTCAGAGAAATCAGCTCCATCGAATAAGTCAAGATGTAATACGAAATTACACATCTGTCTCAAATTTTCACGAGTATAATACTCTTCAATATCTTCAAAATTAGAGTACTTCACCAAACGACAAACTTTAACAAACACCTCGCTCAGTGAGTTTAACCAACAATTGTCCGAAGTACAACACTAATTAACAATACATCTCAATGTAAAACGGATGAATATTAATAAGGTGAATAGTTTATGCTTCTGAAAAAAAAACAATGAAACAACTCAATTCTTTAATGTTCACTTAGCTTTCTTCAGTGTCGTTTGATGTTTTTCGAAATGAAAAAAAATCATCAGTGAAAATGTTTTATACATAAAATTTGAAAGTATATTTGGTGATAAAACAACGGTAATCAAAGTAGATACTTCTATTTTCGGAACATAACCATTCATATGTAACGATTGTTTTTGTTACCTTGATCAATTTGTTACATAACATCTTAGTAAAACGATTCACTCACATGATACCTTAACACACACTTCAATTTGTCTACTATATACCTTTGATTGTTAACAATAACATGAATTTTAATATGGATTAAGATAGTTGGTTTGATAAGTTTCAACGGCAAATGTTTAGGAAGTTTAAATTAGTTTTAATAAAATATTTAAGTAGACTATAAATCAAAGTTCTGTCTAGTAATATCTATATTGTTTAAATCAATAAAGTATGAAAACATTTGACCATACGGTTATTTGAATCCCTAGTAGACTATTTTCTTAGTGTACTTAAATCGAAAAAAAGGAAAAGTATTGATGATGTTACAAATGGAATCATTTATTATTTATAGTAATGAATACTTTCTTACTGAACGACTATTAGGACATGTAAATCGATTTGTTTGTTTAAATTGCTTAAACATCAAGTACCAATGGTTCTATTGTTCATTGTTGAATTTATTCAACTTTAACGAAATTTACTTAACAATCGTCTATTAAAATACAAGCTGAAGTAAAACAATTGTACATTTTCTTCGATAATTTAATGCGATTACAGAATAATAAATAAGAACTTTCGTCTTAATTTGATCGAATAGTTTCAGTGTATTTGGGCACCGAGTTAATGCGAGACATTAAAGAGGAAGAATGTATTAGTAAAAGCTCAAAAGAATTTGACAAATGTTCTTATTCATTATTCTGCAATCTCATGAAGTAAAACAGTTCGTCACATTGAAAAATAGACAGTTATTTAAAATACAGTTTATCGTGATTGTTACACTAACTAATGCATGTATACATATGTAAGTATGATGGAAGAGTTATATGTCTTGTAAATTGACATCTGTAATTTTTTTGCAAACGTTTATTCTGATACTTTAATCTGTACTTTAGTAATATCTTTTGAGTAATATCATTACATGTTTCTTAAATTGTTTCAAAGAAACCTCGACGTTTATAAGATTGAAAGGTAATATCAGATTATCTTTGAACATATTACAAAATAAGTGTGTCTGTGGCCGTTTGATCTGACTCCAAGATCGTATAGATGTTTGTTATCGCTGATTCTCGTTTATCATCGTCGACTTAAATCGCGTTAGCCAATAACCGAATTAAATAAGTCAATTAACGAGAATGGCCATTGAATACATATATTTTGTATGTAAAGTGAATGCGATAGAACAAAGCGAAATGACGCGCGGAGAGGATGGCTGGGAAGCCAACTCCATTTTAGTCAAGCGTTACTCAATATTTATAGCCAGACAAAATAAAGCTACAGACATGTGATTAATAGGATAAGAAGGGCACACACATATACGCTCATATAAAAACAGTCAAGACTGACAAGCGAATAATTGACAAGGTCAAAATATGGCTCAAGTAAAATGAATAAAATAGGATGTCCGGAAGTTAGAATAAAGGTATATGGGCTTGCCATAATAACTGACACTACATGTCACTTATGAGCTTCATTTGAGTGGATTTTAATCAATAACCGGAAACTACTAATATTTTCGCACTCTCCTTTTTTAAGTCTTGCATCCATCTTTATCAGAATGATGTAGGCAAAAATCTTATCTAACTGTTTACAGAATATTTCACAAACCTTTTAATTTGTTTTCAAAGAACCGCTTATTACGCCATGATACGTTGTACAACTATTTGGTTCTCTAGCGACTGATTGTAAAACTTTCATGTTTTAATGATATTGCATTTTTTCAGAAATTAATGATTGTAAACACTGTTACTAGTATGTTCAACCCAATATATCATAGAGCTACATATATTTTTCATTGTTTCTTTTAGAATAAACATTACTTAATATATATATGATGCAATTTTTTACGTGTATGTTTCTTAAGTTTACTATTCATGTTAGTACTTTGTTCAGTGATATTACAGATTCCTATGGATAATCGTTATGTTTTTTTTATTACTTAATTAACTGTAAATCAACATCCAATTTATAATTAAAACCTTCATAACTATTAGATCAACATGACGATATAATGAAATGACCAAAATAAATAAATCGATACTCCGTTCAAGTAATCGTACTCAAAATCTTAACAGACTAAAGTATAACTAATAAAAAACAGTACCTATCCAACCGGCAAAGTAAGTGTATACATCAAAGTTATTAATTCTAAATAAGACATCTAATCAAAATGTAATAAGATCATGAATTATTTGTTAGTCAGTAAATAAGCATTCAAACATCAAACAAAAAAATCTTAAACGAAGCAACCAATGTTCATCTATTCTCAGAAGGGGTTTTGTGGGGATTTTTAGAAATTTCACCGGTTGAAATCATGAGTCCATTGAAGCTAGACCACCATGGAAAACCTGGAAGCACTGGACGGCCGTTTCGTCCTATTGTGGGACTCCTCAGCAGTGTACATCCACGACCTCACCCCCCGAGATTCGAACCCAGGACCTACTGGTTTCACGCACGAGCACTTAACCACAAGACCACTGAGCCGGCACCCAGTAGGCGTGGGTTTGAATCTCTCAGGGGGCAAGGTCGTGGATGCACACTGCTGAGGAGCCCCATACTAGAACGAAACGGCCGTCCAGTGCTTCCAGGTTCATCTATTCGTTTTTTCATAACAACAACTAAATTTCTTTTTGGAAATTACCACTTTGTAGAAGTTCATTACATATTTCTACAACTATTAACTTAATCAATTTACTCATTGATATGGATCAATAATATTCTATTAATAACTTCATTGTTTCACTAACCCAAAACATGAAAAATTTCCTATTCAATAAATTGCATACTTTTATCTAAAACTATTCACTGTTATTAAAAAACAATAACAAAAATAGAAACCATAGCTTCTCTATTCATTTACATATTGTAAACTCTTGAAACAAAGCAATTAAATTAAATGATAATTCTGTAATCATTTACTTCTTTTAAAAACTATACAAGTTAAATTGGTATAAGTTATTACAATCCAATATATTATTATATTATATTACCTTCAATAAAATAAACATAAAGAGAAGTGTCAACAGGTTACTGATGTAATTAAAAAGATAGTTTTGTTTTGTTTAAATTTTAAAATCATATTTGTTTATGGAAAGGTGGCATAAGTTGAAAGTGTGTAAAATATCATCTAAATCAATATTATCGTCACAAACGACAAACATGTCGTCCATGTATCTTACATATAAGTGAAATCGATTGATCATTGTAGTGAGTTGGTCGTTTTCTAGTTTTGTGACCAACTCTATTCAATAATCAATCGATTTCACTTATATGTAAGATACATGGACGACATGTTTGTCGTTTGTAACGATAATATTGATTTAGATCATATTTGTTTGTTTAAAAAAAAATAAGATACAACTTTTTCCTCTTCAATTTGATATTTTTTTTGTATTTGATTACATTTCTTCAAAGATCTTTTATTGAAGATTTTCTCTTGATATCATAACAGTAGATTATAAAAAATGTCCCAATTATATAGTATAATATAAAAAGAAGAAGAAAAAATCAATAAATTAAAATTTCCATGTTGATTGAAATAAATTATTATTAAATAATAATTTCCAATAAGTACAACGTTCTTTCATTATATTTACATATTTACATAATTGATCATTTTCAATTAAATTCACATTATATTGCCCCTTTTTTGATTCATACCAATTAGATATATAACCAGTTCTTGCAAATTGATACATTGCTATATTAAGTAAATCACTAATATTTCTTAATTGATTTAATTCTTTTTCATTATGATATAAATCATTTAATTGTAATAAACTTGGATCTATAAAATCATTATGTATTTCATAAGTTCTTAAATATAACATTGCATCCCAACCATGAAATGCATATGATACATAACCATTTAATGAATATGGATCAAAACATCTATGATTTCCAGTTAAATAATATTGATATATTGGATAATATTGATTTATAAATGTATTTACTAATTCAGTTAATGGACAGGTTAATCGACTATCAGTAATTAATAACATTAAATTAGATAACCAATCATGATCTTTATCAATTGTCTTATTCTCTATTATATTATTCATATATTTACAATTTATATGATTAGAATGATTTGATAAAAAATAATCAATATATTGATTATATGATGTAATATTTTTTATATTTAATTTTTCAATTATATAATTTTGATAAATATTTTTATTCCAAAATGGTATTGTTTTAGGTGTAGGATAAATGGATACTTCATGTGAGGTTTGTCCAATCACCATTGGTTTAATACTATTTGGTATAAGAATTTTATTCCATAAATCAATATTTACAAATTGATTATCATTAATTAAAATATTAATCAATCTATTTGTATTAATATTATTGAATTCATGAATAGATGGTAAACTAAATATAGAATTCATTAACCATTGTTCAATGATAGTCCAATTCCATATATTTAATATATTTATTGAATTATTTAATTTATAATTAGAACAATTATTAGGATTTATATCATCATGACAATTTAATGCATAATGAATTGTTTCAATGACATCATTTACGGATACATTTAATAAACTTAATCCAGGAGCAGTAATCCATAATTTATCAAATAATTGATTACTTATTGAACTATAAAATAATGTTAATGCACATGTTGCACCAGAACCATAACCAAATAAAATGACATTGAATGGATCACCACCAAATTGTGCAATATTATTACGAATCCATTGTAAAACTAATAATTGATCGTGTAATCCAAGATTTGGTATTTTTTCATATGGATGAGGTAAAAATCCAAATGGACCAATTCGATAATTAAATGTTACATGTATGGCATCCGTTTTATATATAGTATCTGAGCTAGGCTGTTTTGGTTCATTACTGTACATAAAAAATAATCCATCTATTATAATAATTACTGGTTTTGCTTGATTTATTGTCTTTTTATTAATTGGTACATGTATATTTAGGTAAAGACAATTTTCACTACCATCAAATGCATTCCCTGAGGATTTCGGTAGTAATTGTAAACATGAAGGTTTGTAGTTTTGTGTGTAATAAATCGAGTTTATCACTGTAGTGTTACTTAGTTCCCAGGCTTCATGACATAATTTCTTTGAAGATAAATGAATGGGAGGTTTGAAACGATTCTCATTAATTGGTGGTAAAGCGTATGGTATTCCTAAATAACTTATTGTATAATCATCCTTTTGAACACCTTTAATTTGTCCACAGAAAATATTTACAACATTTGGTTGTGAATTATTAAACCATATCCCGAAGTATGATAAAGCAAATATGATAACAATCACAGTCATCAAAATGAGAGCTATTGTTATAATTATATTGAATAAACATGTCATTGAAGTGATACGTCGAAATCTACTCATTCTTAAATTAGTTACTGATGGTGACTGTATATATTGATTATCATTCCAATGGGCCGCTTCATCATAATTCACTGTTTCCATATGCATCTTTGTTTATTTTTAGCCTTCCTTTTTTTAATCCTCAGATTCTTTTGATTAGTGGCTGCTCAAGAGTTTTTTTTCTTATTAAACGGCAAATATTTCAAATAACATAATGTATGAAAGTATCTATTTCAAAAGTAAAAAACTTCTTATTGAAATCATATCGACTTCCCTAACTTACATTTTATAGAAATAACTAGCTAATCAAATTACGTGGATGAATTTTAGCCAATCAAATTAATATTATTTAAAGAAATAAACTCAGGAAAAAAACAATGCAACTGTTTGCCTAAACAACTATCATAATAGAAATATTATATATGGATGGTAAAAGTATAAACACTTATAAGCAACGATAATAAAGTGATATTATGCACAATTATTCACTGAATGACAGAAAAACTCCACAGACACATTAAATTCTCTTGGTGAATACAAACACAACATAGATTGAGATATTAAAGAACTGAGTAGCTCTAGAAACGCTATTGCTGAAATAACTTTTCGGTCCATAAAATCATAAATTAACGACATCAGAAATGTCATCAGGTTGTGTATCAGAAGTATCATTCACGGAATCTGGGATTTAGAAATGATCGGATCCATTTTAAAGCCCTCACTATACAGTGATAAGTATTTCCAATCAATTGAATTTATCAGTTCATCTGGCATATTGATGGTAATTAAAGGTCACTTTCAACAGGCATTTGAGAACATACCTCATCACATCCTGTACATCCATATGGTTTTAAAAATTCAGCTTATATATGTATCGATTTGTATGTAGAATTCCATCTAATTTTTAGGACGTTCTTTATTCTTAACTTAGAACAACCAAGGCTCTAACTATTCATAAGATGATTCAGTCATACTTTCTATGTAGAAGCATTTAGTACTGTAGTGAACAAGAACACGGGCGGGAGTAACCAAATGTAGTTGAAAACAGAATCTCTTAGTAAAATCTGAGAATCAAACAGTATATACTTCATTTGTAAAATGTTCATCAATTGTCTCAGACTTCATTGTTCCTTCGTTCCTCGGTCTCTTCTTTCCGATCTTCTCAACCCTCTACCACAGGGCATTTCACTTTTGATTGGTGTTATATACCACTAATGTCTGTCGACATCAGTAGCACGCACCTCAGTACTACTAATACTGAGGTGTATGTTACATATGTCTGTCGACATAAGTAGTATATACTCGCTTCGGCGGTACATATACTACCCGATCGAAGCTGCTACCTTGACGCGGTGGTCATGCTTGCCTATTGTGATGAAGCAACCGAGCTATACTGGCTGGAACAACCGTTCCTCAAGGTCCTACCATGTCAGACAGGTCGATTTGTGAACGGTAAGACTAGAAGCAGCAACTCAAGGTCTGAGGGCGAAGTCGTACTGCTGACTGTACAGAGGTGTGACAGCAGTAAGGTGTTTCCCTCGGACAACCAGCATGACAGCGATGCTGCCTTCCCACAAGGAGGGGTGGGGTTAGAAAAGGTCGACCCTAAAAATGTCACACCTCGCCTTACGTCACGGATTTCCGTCTCCGGCGGTAAGGCCCTTTGAAGAACGGAGCTAACACGTCAAAAACCTTCCACAAAAAGGCCGTGCGCGACCGGCATCAAGCAGTTGTCCCTTGGGCTCTGCGGTCACGCTCCCAGGTCGTCAAGACCAACACTAATCCAATTTCCTTTTCAGGTTCCTCAAGAAATACCCTTCCACGGTGTAGGCAGCCGGGAAGTGATATCAGCCCTCATACCCGTAACAGCACAAGAGACCAAGGTGGTCACATTCAAATCCTTCCTATACCTTCTAATACCTCTCTTATCTCCATGACTAACCCTCCTCACGTCCCTTTATCACCTCGCACCGCTAGGGCAAACGATTCGAGTACGTCGAACGCCATTCCTGGTCTCCTGAAACCGCGCCCTAAACTACACGTAGGAGCTTTTAACGTACGAACACTTTGCCAAATAGGACAGCAGGCTTCCTTAGCTAAAACTTTAGAATCTCGCGTCATCGATATGTGCTGCGTCTCCGAAACGCGCATACAGGATCCAAGTAGCGTCATTCATTTGACCTCACCATGCCAAAATAAAGAACCGACTCGATTTACGCTTCGTGTATCTGGAAGCCCTGATTCTGCTTCCCGTGGCCTCGCCGGCGTAGGTATAGCATTGAGTCCTAGGGCAGAACTAGCTCTCTTAGAGTGGATCCCAGTAGACAGTCGTTTGTGCGCTGTCCGACTGAACGGAACAGTAAGAATCCGGAAAGATAGGGACACTCGTCGTTGCCTCTTCGTCGTCTCTGCCTATTCTCCCACTGACTGCAGCTCAGAAGATGTAAAAGATGAGTTCTACAGTAAGCTTTCGGACCTTCTCCGAAAAGCTAAGCGCTCGGATGTAGTAATAGTGGCCGGTGACTTTAATGCTCAAGTAGGTAAACTAAGCGATAGGGAAAGACACCTAGGTGGATCCTATGGTGTCGTGGCTCAGAGAACAGATAATGGCCACTGTCTGTTGCAGCTATGCTCAGATAACCGCCTGTTTCTTGCAAATACTAACTTTAAGCATAAGGAAAAACATCTTTTAACATGACGACCCCCTAATTCGTCCCAACGTTGGACCCAAATAGATCACATCGCTATCAGCCACCGATGGAGGGGCTCGATAGAAGACTGTCGCTCATTCTGGAGCACATGCCTAGATTCAGATCATGCTCTAGTGCGAGCGCGTATTTGCTTGCGTCTTACTGGACGTAGGAAAGACGCTGCAAGAAAACCTCTTGGGGCCTACTTAATGATAGTCAAGCTAAGAGTATATTTGAGGAACAACTAGGAAAACAGTTAGGCAGCCATGTATGTGATGCCCAACACTGAGGCAGCATGGAATGATATCCGAAAAGCTGTGGAAACGGCAGTGATATCTGCTAGTAAGGTAAACCAGAAGGTTAGGGAGCAACACTGGATCTCAGCAGCATCTATCTCACTGATAGATGCTCGGAAACTCATTCCACCTGACTCTGAACATAATGAAAAGCGTAGTCAGCTTAAGCGCAAGCTGAGAAGAAGTCTACGAAATGATCGCGAACAGTGGTGGGTAGCGAAAGCAAGAGAGATGGCGAAGGCAGCGGCAATAGGTAATAGCAGACAATTGTTCAGACTCGTTAAGGAAACCGGAATTAGGAACCCGACCGTTAGCGAAACAATCTCAGAGAAAGATGGACATATTATTCATTCTCAATCCAGGAGATTGGATCGATGGGTAGAACACTTTAGGCATCAGTTCAACTGGCCTTCAGCCACACTTCGGTTTCCCACGATCTTTAGTCAACCGAAATGGCAAGTTAATGTAGGTCCTCCGTCCCTTTACGAAGTTGAAAAAGCCATAGGAAATCTGAAACGAGGGAGAGCAGCAGGCCCTGACAGGTTTACATCTGAGATTTTTAAGGATGGTGGTTCAGTATTAGCAATGAGATTAACCGGGGTCTTAGGTAGGATTTGGGAACTGGAAGTAATCCCATCTGACTGGTCTCAATCACTGATTGTGCCAGTCTATAAGAAAGGACAAAAGTCCTCTTGTGACAATCACAGAGGAATCAGTTAAACTAATATAGTGTCTAAAATATTAGCTTCAATAATACTTCGACGCCTAATCAAAGCTCATGAAAAACAGACTAGAGAAAACCAGGCTGGTTTTCGACCTGGACGTGGTTGTATAGACCAGATATTCACACTACGTCAGGTTCTAGAACACAGACACACGTTCAGACGCCCCACAATGATAGTATTTCTCGACCTTAAGAGGGCATTCGACTCTGTTGATCGTGAGGTTCTATGGCAGTGTTTGTCACTGAAAGGAGTACCAAAGAAGTACATTAACCTTATAAAGGCTCTCTACTCGAACACAACTGGTCGAGTGAGAGCTTATGGCGAACTGTCATCAGAATTGATTTCCTCAAGTGGTGTTCGTCAGGGCTGTCCACTCTCTCCATTCTTGCTCAACTTTGTGGTCGACGTACTTTTAGAGATAACACTCTCCTCATCTAAATTTCCAGGGGTTGAACTTCTACCAGGAGGTTCACTTGTTGACTTAGAATATGCAGATGACATAGTTTTATTTGGTGAAGACGCTGACAAAATGCAGTCTTCTGACCACTCTAAGCAACAATGCAAGCATGTTCGGGATGCGATTCTCTCCCTCGAAATGCAAAATGTTGCTTCAGGATTGGGTTACATCGACACCCGAACTAGTGATAGGGAGTGAAGTAGTTGAGTGTGTCGACCGCTTCACTTATCTTGGAAGTCTCATCAGCCCTTGTGGTCTGGTGTGTGACGAAATCTCAGCACGGATACAGAAGGCTCGACTAGCTTTTGCCAACTTGCGTCATTTATGGCGTAGGCGAGATATCCGTCTATCAACCAAAGGACGTGTTTACTGCGCAGCAGTTCGTTCCGTCCTACTTTATGGCAGTGAAACATGGCCGGTAAGAGTAGAGGATATCCGTAGGCTACTAGTATTTGATCATAAGTGTCTTCGAAACATTGCTCGTATATCCTGGGACCATCGAGTAAGTAATGCAGTTGTTAGGAAACGGGTACTAGGTAAGGATGGCAAATCGATTGATGAAGTGGTGAAACTTCATCAGTTGAGATGGCTGGGGCACGTGTTACGTATGCCCAACGACCGACTGCCTTGACGAGCTATGTTCAGTGGTATAGGAGTAGGTTGGAAGAAAGCTAGGGGCGGCCAAACCAAAACATGGCACAAGTCCATGAAGTCACTGACAAGTGAACTGAGTCATGTTGGTAGGTGTAGACTACCTGGTTGGGGACCGCGAGATGATAGCAACCGATGGTTAGAGACCCTGAATGACATGGCTCAAAATCGTTTGCAATGGCGCAGGTGCATTCACTCTCTGTGTTCTCTCAAATTCTAATCTTCTGAATTCTTCATGTCCCTTTTTTCCTCTTTCCAAATTTGTTTCACTGGATTATACTCTTTAAATAACATCTCCAAACACTAATCTTCCCGATTACTGCTTATACTCTTGCTACCTCTACCACTACGGGATTTGAATCGACAACTGTATCTCTGTGCTAATGTGGTGTGGCAACTTGAACTGATGTACGTACGTACGAAGTTCTACGTTGTTACTGACTGACTGACTGAGTATATAACACCAATCATTCATTTCAAATTTTCAAGCTGATTCTAACTGAAGTACAACAAAAGCTTCACAATTAAACTAGAAATTTTCACGGAACACAACATTTCCAATTTCGATTTGTTAACTATAACTCTTCAGGAAAACAATAAGTTGAATACATTTTTTTAATGAGATAGAAACTTTGTGAAGATTGTGTTTGGACGGAATAAAAACATAAGATTATGTGCTTACTTTAAGTGTGACTTTTATTCAGTTTCATATATTTCTTTCTACGAACTAATTCTTTCTTCCTGTACTGTATCCTTATACACAATCTTTCTTTTCTACATTACTACCATTGAAGTGACTACTTTTATGAATTTAGCGTCTTCTTATGTTGTGCTAATGAAGTGTGGCAACTTGGACCGGTACATATATGTGCCTAGTCCTACATTGTAGATGACTAACTGATTTTTGTCTTGCTTCAGTTTCATTTCCGTCCATGTAACTTTGTATAAGTGCTTCTCAGTATTACATCAATTTGTACTACACTGTTAGTTTTCATTCACTTGACGTTTGTTTGGTACAATATTCAGTTGTAGTTTATTGTTTGTGATTTTGCGTTCAGCTGACAATCGCTAAGTTTCATAATCTCTGTCACTATTAACTATTGATTATAAACAGTATGTAACTAAATAAACTTAAGTGAAATTTCCATCTTTTAAGATTTTTATCAATAAATTATTTTTTTGGAATATTTGTATTTTGTAATATTTAGAGTTAAGTAGGAAAAGAAGCTGTCGTATCCCGTATCAAAGTTCTGTCTGACTAACCAGTGATATCTCTCAAGTTCGCATCAGATCTTTTAATCCTTTTATCTTCTATCAAAGTTGGATTAGTGAGGATATCCTGTTCAATATGGATAGATATTATTTTTGTGCATACATTGAAATATATCGGTAATTCATACAACCGTTTGGATCTAAAGTTCTCTAAACTTTTCTTAATAACTCTCCTTATAAGTTAATACTTCAGTGAAACAACTTCAGAGTACAATCAGTAAAACCAAAAAAATTGATACACAAGGTGGAAGGGTTTTAATATCACAGAAAAAAATTACTAGATAATCTATTAATTTTAAATTAATACCTGTAATGAGCATGATGTTTTAAGCACCTATATAAGTTGGCGCCATTCACTAAAAATTAGAACTAAAATTAAAAAAACTTTCACTATTTACCTCTTATCTCTTCTTATCAGACCCAACAGATCAATACGTTTCTGGATTATGCTTCCGTATATTACAATTAGTAGACACTGTAATAAAAACAATTAAGTAGTCATTGGAGTCGGTGTCTCCTAAGCTGAGGAATTGGGTTGATAAGGCAACTAAAAGAAATAGTTAGGTATTCTAAAAAAAAGGAAACTAGTTTTCAAAGCTTGAAAAAGTATATTATTTAAATGTCGTAATTGAAATAATCAGAATTAATGTATTTACCCTACATTATGACTGTTTAATGAAACATTCATGTTAATAGTTGAGAAAGAAATAGGTAAAATGTTATAAACTAATGGCTGTTTCTAAAAACCTAACTTGTCAACATTTAATGCATTTAGACTGCTATAGTTATGGGTAGATGTTTATAGACATAGCTTAATAATCTTTTTATCATATGTCTGCTGGAATAACTAAATGGCTTGAAATTTGCCACAGTAAATCGTAAATCGGAAGAATTAAGTAAGAACCTGAGGACAACAGACTAAAATAAATTCAAATACTTGAATCCCGTCATTCTGAATGGCTTACATTGATTGATGCTCAGATATGTATACAATGAACTGAACAGTCCCTGGCACTAATTAGTGAACAGTTTACTGAATAAATAATAACTGTCCAAAATCAACTTCCTTAACTATGAGAAAGCGTTTGACAGTGTGGATAGGAGAAACTCATAGGACATTCTTCAACATTATTGTGTGCCTGAGAAATTCGTCGGCATCATACAGAATTATTAAGATGGACTACAATGCAAAGTTGTGAATGGAGGACAGCTCTCAGATACATTCCAAGTGAGGACCGATGTAAGATATGGCTGATAACTCTCCCCCTCACCCTTTCTTCTAGTGGTCGGCTGGATTATGAACACCTTCACACCTAAAGGGCAGCATGGAATACAATGGACAGCCTGCATGCAACTACACGATTTGGACTTCACAGATCATCTAGTTCTTCTATCCCATACACACCAACAAATACAGATGAAAACAATCAGTGTAGTAGCGAAATCTGCATCAGTAGGCCTCAATATACCCAACGGAAAAATTATGATCCTCAAATGCAACACAGCGAACACCATCTCAATCACACTCCATCCAAAAGTTCTGGAAGTGGTTGAAACTTACACTCACCTGAACAGCATCATCGATGAACGAGGAGGATTTGATGCAGATGCAAATGAAAGGATAGCATTCCTACACCTCAACAACATATGGAACTCAAAACAACTGTCAACCAACATCAAAGTCTCAATCTTCAATACGAACCTCATGACAGTTCTACTGTACACAACTGAAACTTGGAGAACTACCACAACCATTGTCAAAAAAGTGCAAGTATTTATAAACAATTGTCTATACAAGATACTCAGTCTCCATTGGTCGGATACCATCAGCAACAACCTACTATGGGAAAGAACAAAGTAGCTTCCATCTGAAGAGTTGGTTAGGAAAAGACGTTGAAAGTGGATAGGAAACATATTGAGGAAATCAATAAACTACATCACGAAGAAATCTCCAAACATAAATTCAATTGTATGACATTTGTTGTCAAGATCTACCTGTCCTTCCACAATTACATAAGATAAAGTTATAAATGATTACATTATCTCCTTCTTATTTAACTAAAACAGTGAACTTACTTTAAACGTGGTATAATTTACAGTATTTTAAAGCATTAACTATTTAAGAGAAAACTATTTGATTATCATTCCATATTAAATGTATCTCTGATTTTACAAAAATATTATTTATAATTTAATGGATATTTCTGGTAACTATTTCTATTACCATAAACATACTCAAGTTTACACTGTTCTTTCACAGATTTATTTTACTATCCTAAATTGGAACCTAAACATTATCGATCATTTTAAATATTAATTCCTATCGATCAACCCAGCAACCAGTTATATGTCTATACTAATTACTGAATTAACCAATACTTCTATTACTTTTTAATCGTTAGATATTGTTTTCGTTTTTTGAAATGGTAAAAATAATGAACTAACGTGAATGAAACATCAAAATGGTTTCATTATCGTTCCTATCATCTTCATAATGAATGTATTATCTGTATATCTTTTATTTATAGAAAAAATTATCACTGATTATTTACCAAGTATAATTTATTTATTCATTTGTTTGTTTCCAGTCTCATTTAGTCCTACATGTAGTAATGTTCTGAATGACTAACCTGGCACGCGATTCCACATCTGAATATATATATATATATATATATATATATATTTGTATGGTTATACTCGTATATTTAATAATATCTATTGTGAATAAACTGGTTCAAAGGAAGCAATTGACTTTTGTTTTTAACTTACAATCAAATTATTTTTAGCGATTTAAATATCATACTATTGATGAAATAGTATGATTTACCGGATATATATCAGTACTGATTCAATACTTATTTATTAGTAATATATTACATGGCTAAAGAAAAAAAATTAAAAATCGCACAGGAAATGATCTTTTATTACCTATTAAAAATTACTTCATAGATTAACAAAACATAAAAAGAAATTTCCTTAATTGTTTCTATGTATTTTTAAGTAGTGTGTTAACTTTATGGAACAAAAACAGAAAAGTTCTATATTCTACTAATTTTATTTAATACTATACTTAATAATGAAATTAGTGACAAAGAGAAAAGATATTCAGTTACATTGATAAATACAATATTAACACTTACATATTAAATACTTAACGTACTAGTTGATTATGTTAACGATTTCGTTAAAGGAAAATTGTTTTCAATGTAAAATGTATCTTGAATGATACTTTTAATTGTTTGCATGTCATATATAAATTAATACGATGATCCAAGTTATGTCAAAGTATCAGATTCATTATTCGAAGCACATGCTGAATAAGTGAAAATAAACCGTAGTTATAAGTAATCAGTAAGAACCTTCAAACATAGGTTTCACTTTGACTGACTGAGTCGCATTCAGTCATATCATATTCGTCAGTCTACTAGTTTACATTTATAGCTTTAGTTGTTTTATGATAGGTTATTTGGGGAACAATCAGAATTCATTATTACACGGCCAAGATTATTTGAAATACTATCCTTTTTCACAATAAACAGTGAAGGGACATGATATGGTGAGTAAAAGCTTAAACAATTGGAATGGGAATGACATAAGAAATTGATTTTTTTTCCATTTGTGTGTGTACTTTTTACATCTTAAAAAGAATTATAAATGTTTAATCGCATAATATGGTAAATATGTGTTATTGAATGATTATTATTACATACAACTCAATAAATAAATCATATAAAATGTGATGTATTCTAAAATCATTTCAATTAATTTTGGGAATCAAATAAATCCTTCTCACCAGTCTTCTCGTCTTTTCTCTTATGTTCAAGTTGCCGTGAATATTTAGCCTATGGTTAATAAAAGAGCCTAGGAAACTGATTCAAGAGTTCATTTAGAAGACTTATCAGAACAATTGCTATCTAGTTTACATATCTGTTTCCGTAGTATAGAATGGATCTTTGTATCAGTCATTGCATCAGTTAATGTACGATGCTATTCTTTCTGGTCAACTGATATTTAAGTATATGATGTTCATTAGTATTTACAATAAATCATGTTATATTTCCACATCACATCCCTCCACCCATATTTATTTTAACCAATAAATTAACAATTTCAAACACATAAATAATGACAACTATTTTGATTTGATATCTTAACAACAATAATATTTCTGTAATCGTCGTTGCTGTTGGTAGCAAACCTAAAAACGACAATATTAGTACTAATTAATTGCTGTGTGGTCAAGTTGATAGTAATCATTACGTGTTTTTGTCAAAAAGCTTCTGTTTAAATTAAAAATTTATGGGCAACTTTATGACCGTCATTAATAAGGAATATGGTCATTTCCGGACTCAGCTAAATATGATTTAATAATTTGGTCAAGATTATACCTTAATTGTAACAGTTTCTTAATTTGCTTCAGAACAGAAACGTACCGTAGCCATATATTATCTGACTGCAAGATAAAATATAATTTCTTCCAGTAGAACGGTCATACAGTAGTATGTCAAAACAATCACATCGTTTCATCGAAGACTTTGAATTAGGAGACATTTTACTGATTCAGAGTTTACAGTGAACTATAATCTCAAGCCACTAAATCACGTACTGTTTGTTCTCACTTTTACTCGCCTTTATCACAAAAGTATTTTTAGAAGTATCACTCTGTTTGATTATTCACTAAGAAACCCATTTTCCTAAAATCCTTATTTTTACCCTAATGAAAACTTCACCTGTAGCTCTTATAGGGTTACCGTCGGTCCCAAGCCCATATAAAGGAGGAGGGTTGGACATCGGTCAGAGACCTCAGCCCGTAGAAAACAAACTTGCTAAACAAACGCCAACCAGAATAAACATTTCAAAACATTTAAATTCTAACCTCCGAGTAGAAGGGTTTTCATTCAGAAGAATTATGACGCCTCGTGGTGAAAGCCTAGATTCTTTAGAAGTCACTAGGCCGTTGCCTCTTCCAACAACTAGAGCAACAGTTAATGCGGGTACATGAAACGTACAGACAACATGAGAGACCGGGAAAACTAATCGAATTGCTGTGGAAACGAAGAGACACAAATTAATGGTGTCCGGAGTAAGTGTAACCCATTGACCTCAAGCTAGACAGAAAAGGTTAGATTCGGGAGTGATGCTGCTGTACTCGGGTCATGAAGAAAATGTTCCATACACTAAAAGAGTTGCCTTAATGCTAGCCAACAAAGCACGAAAAACATTTGATCAAACAATAGAAAAACAGATTGATCATATTTGTATCATTAAAAAATCTAGAAGGTCAATTAAAGATGTCAGAACCAAGAGAGGAGCTGACATAGCTTCAGATCA